TCATCATCATGTTTATTTATATTTATTCACATCAACACTGAACAATAACAAACAATAATATATTTATAATTAAATTACAATTGATCCTTCAGTTTAAAAATGTTTGTGCTTTACAACCTCTAATAGCTCACTGCCTCCATTACCATTTCTCTCTCCTCTCTTTTACATCCCACTGCTATCCATTGCCTTCTTGGCTTTCTTGTCCGCCCCTTTAAACTTTAAACTCGACTCTTAAGTGCTTGTGTCTCTCCAGACATAGTGACAGCTGTGACTGAGAATGTGCTGCAGCAGTTTGACTCTAACTTCTTCCGTCCTTGGTATGGAACGAATATTAGCAGCATATGCGTGACAATATTAGCTCCACAAACTAGTGGCAGGTAGCAGAAACAGGCCAAAGACAGCATGATAACATCGGGAAGATGATGGTAAAAGATCTCTCAATTTTGGGGGTAAAATACTGTCCCAGCTGTACTCCCCTGTGATTTGCACATCTCACCTAGTTCTAAGCTCCCTTCTATAATAGGCGGGCCCCTTTAAAGCATTTCACTGCATTTCAAAACAAATTTGAAAAATGAGTCAGATTAAGAGTTTGCTCAAGACTAATCATATCTTTTTATGTCACAGGTCAGGGAACACTCAGGTGTTGAAGCTGGCAGTAATATCAAATGATCGTTTATTTGAACCTACAAATAAAGTAAAACACAAAGCAGTGCACAGAGGTGGCAGGAGTACCAACCAGTGAGAGAGACAAATGCAGCAGAGAACTCACAATCAAGAGGAAAATTAGACAACAGCTTTTTCAAGACTAACACACCATTTCCTTGTATCGACAACATTTAGGAAATTATACTGTACTCGTATATAAGGATTCTAAATATCACATGTATATAGTTTGTCTTCAAACATTTGACCTCTGACCTCACGTTTACATTTTTGCCTTTCCTTTAAGTTGGCCCTAAACGAGTTATTCCTAATTCACTATAAACTTTTAAAAGTACATTTAAAAAGAACAAAGAAAACCAAATCAATTAACAAAATGCATTAATATTCTCTTAAATAATTACTATCCAGTAAATACTGTCCAGAGAGTGATCTGCTTTGGTGGAGGTTAGTGCTCTCTGAGTGATTCTTGTTCAGGACTACTTTCATACTAAACTTCCTAAACTGACCCGTGAGATGTCTATAAATACAGCAGCAGGATTGCCCTCAGCCTGGATGCAATTATCTGGAATCGTTACTCTTGAATAGAGCGGAAGTGCATCTCAGTTCAGTATTGGTGGATGGTTACCTTCACCCCTGTAAGATACGGTCCAAGATGGGAAAAAGTGCACTTAACAAAGCCCAAACTACCCCAGAGGCACTGCACAGCAGGCAGCACTATATGCACTATGACATTGCAGAAGAAATGTTTGAGTTGTGGCTTCCTTCTCAACAACCTTAAAGTGGTATTCCAGAGATTTTCACATCTGTGCTTTTATAGGACCTGAAGAATGTTAATCCTTTTAAAGAACTGGAAATTTGAGTTGCAATGTGGTATCCAGATGCACTGCACCTTTAGGCAGACCTAGACAGCTTAAATGAAAGTCAAAAGAAAGCTGACGTGAACTGGCATTGAGATCTCCTAATCCAGCTGATCTAAAAGCATTGCAACTGAGCTGCAACAAATGCTTTATTACAAATCAAGCACAGAAAGCGTGATATTGCTGACTGTCATCTAAAGTCATTATCATACTAACTGTCTCATTTACACTGCAGTACAATTATTTTGAGAGGTTGTTTTTGTATAAAAGTCTTGAATCTTACCCATATAGAAAAGATATATGTAAATCTTATAAAGTTTGTATCTGTCTTGTGTGAAACTTGTATGAAAAGCATATAAGTGTGAAAACAGATATAAGATCCCTTGAAAAATTATATAATGAAACTTGTATGTTTTGGATACTTACTAAAACAATGTATGAAAGTAATGCGAAAGTGGCCACTTTCATGAGTAATCACATATAAGTTTTTACTATTTCTTTTCCGTATGGGTAGCCTCACCTGTTATATCAATCTCACATGAATATGTATGTCATCTGTCTGTTATATTGGTATATGCCATCTGATTTGCATATGTTCCAGAGTAGTGCATTTTTTATCAGTTGGACTGTGACTTTAACCTGGCTTTTAAAGCGATTTCCTTCCCTCCATAACAGCTAAAGTTTAAATAAGAGGCGCAAAAGTGCCAGACACTGTGGTACAATAAGCCTATGTACAGCACAGTGGGAAGCCCATCAAACTGGATTCCTTCAAACTATGCAGTGAGGGCTATTTTAGTGGTGGTTCCCTGCTGCTATGTTTTTGGCTTGTTTCTGCTGGTAGAAAACTTTAAAGGGCTTCCAGTCCAGTGATGCAGAAATGACATAAAAATAATGTTTGAAAAAAAGGAGGTGTTTGACCTTGAGGCTTGATACTGGCTGCTATCCTCAGAGGGCTGTCTGGCCTCTGACTGTGCTTGCACGCACATGCTGCTGCTGCTGTGCGTGTGTGTGTGTGTCTGTGTCTTAGAAATAAGGGATACAAGAGGAGGGAAGAACAGTGAAACTTTTCAGACATAAAACAATAAAACATATTTATCATTTACTCACATAAGTCTATCGGCTGCATGCACCTTATATCTATGTAACACTCATAGCTTCTCGGTGACAAATGCTTCAATTTTTTTTCTATCGATGTACTGTAAACATGTGCATGTGCATCTTATACTGTATGAAAAAGGAAAGAAAAACAAATAAAGTTACCTTTCATTGATTTGGTATGTATTTTTTTTATCAGTGATTCTGAGGAAAGCTTAACAGCAACTAAACTTGTTAACATAGTCTGTATATAAAAGATGGATGAACAATGCAGAAGCGCCTTAAAGCTGCAATTTTTCTAATGGCCAGCAGAAGGTGGCTCTTCCGGACTTCCAGTTGTACAGAAGTCTTTTGTTTCCTTGGCTTCCTGCTCCTTTTCTCATGGGCAGTTTTCCCAACTCTGCTCGGATCAGCTGGTTCATGCAGTGACAAAGCATAGGTTCATAGAAAGTTTAAGGAAGTTCCTTTGTTGGAAATGTAGCTTCATTTTCTAAGCGGTGAACATGGCAGATTTGGTTCCAAATTATCACTGAGATGTGGATCATCTAATAGGTCCATCTTTCTCTTTAAAGCGATTCACATTAAGTAACTTCGTAATAACACAAATACAAAAGTAAGTAAAAGTGTGATAGTAATGGGGGGGGGGGGGGGGAATATGGGAGACTGGCAGCTGAAGAGAAATCTACTCAAAGGGAACCCAGACAGAAAAAGAAAAAAAAAGCTGTGACGTTGTGTCTAGAATGACTCTGCAGTTAGTGCTTCTGTGTGTGTTTCTGTGTGTGCTGCTCTATACTCCAAAAATGGTTGCAGACACAAAGGAACACTGGCTCTCAGAGACACACTCATCCAGTGGACCAAAGCTTCCCTTTAATGCACACTTGTTAATTATTCACAGTATCCACCATTACAGTGCTACTGGACCAGAGCCAAAAGTATGTGTCCCTGTTTTCCCACAGTACATCTGAAAACAAAAAACAGCTTTTCAGTCAAAACCAATGCATGTGCATTCAGGTATACAAAGCAACAATATGTTTTACTTTCGGCACAAAGCAGCCATTTGTGACGTGCAGCTTCAGTCAGTTTTGGTTTTCAGCTGCAGTGCCAGTTTTTATGTGTATTTCAGGACCACGGACAGATACATATTAGAATTTGTGCTGTTTGTGCAAGAAGCAAAGATCACAGTTCATTTTATTTCAGCTTCTCTCAGCTTCAGCTATTTTCATTTTGGATTGCACTCAAGTACCTTTGCATGTTCCAAATAATACTTATCTTATTCTGGGTTCTTAGTGCAGCCCCTCAGTTCATCCTCTCCCCTTTGGCAGACCTTTGTAAATGGAAAGCCTCAGTTATGTATTAGTTGACTGTATTATATATTATATGCACTATATGTTAGAATCCACCACCATAGTAGATCTCATTGAAACCATATAGTGATTTATTTTGTAATATTTATATAGAATTATAAGTGACAGCTGGTTTTATTTGTTCAACATGGTTTTGTGATTGTCAGTAAAATAACTGTGCAAGTCAGACTTGGAGTTAATGATGTAATGGCCACTGGTAGAGTAAATATTGTATTATTTAGTTAATGCTTGTGTTTCATTGTTAAGATGACAAAATTATTATGTTAAGCTAGTTTTATTTTCGGCTGCTAATGGGAATTAATGGATGCAAATCCTGCATTTATTTCACTTAACAGATTATATTACCCTTTCAGCTTCTTTCCTTTTGCAGCACTCAAAGGAGCTCAGAAAGTCTGGCTCTTCGTGTCCCATGTGTTTGCAATAGTGGTGATGTTTCTGTCTTGTATATGTGCTTGTGAGTGTGTTAGTTCAGTCCTGGCGTGTGCCTCAGCTGTTGGGAACATGCATCGATCCTCTAAGACACGTCTGTTGACAGGTTGTGTTGCCAGGGGAACCACAGATGCTGTCATCTTCTACTTGCGTAACCATGGTGATAGTCCCTTCAGCAGTGTGTTGTGTCTGCTTGCTTCACTGTCAAATGATAGGACAAAGACATACACAGCATGTGGAGGCAGGATTTGGGAAGCAGCACCCGTTTGATGGGCAGACATCTGACAGAGCAGAGCTACATACAGACTGACTGAGGTGCACTGTCTCGCTCTCCATGTGGAGCACTTTAAAAGGACCCAGCAGAGTGCTCTGTATGATAGGGACAATGGGAAACTACAACTAGTGCAAAAGTAAAACAAAGAAAAATAAATATATCTCCTGTTCAGTGTAATGAAAAACATAAAGCTGTAACAAAGGTTCTTCATATACAGATACGCTTTGCAAATCTAAACCTAGAAAACTAAAGAGACAGTCGTTATATTCTTATATATTCAGCTGAGGATGACAGTGATAATGCTCTTTATTTCCTCAGGTCCAGGGATGATGTCATCAATGATGTCATCAGGAGGACGCCAAGACCCACCAGGACAGCCTGCCTTCAGCTCTGACTACCTGTCTGGTGAGGGTGAATGGACTGAAAGTCATGTAGTAGATAGTAATTTTATCACTCTGCCTACAGTCACAGGACAAAACCTCTGTAAACACTTTGGTGATTCATTTTGGGCTCAGTCATCCACGGCATTTTCTAAAATCTGGTCATTCAAATTGTCAGAAAGGAGGTTTATGCAGGGTATGCTCATTGGCTAATGGCGTGTGATTGACAAAACAAGCTCTCACTAATCACATTGCATCATTCACCCCTTCACATCCATTCATACAAGCACTTTTTTCTGTGCTTTTTTTTATGTAACTGCTTTTTATCTAACATCCACACACCCTCACACTCCGATGGATACAGCAGAGAGCAACTTTGTGGTTAATATCTTGCCCAAGGATATTTGGCATGCTGACTGAAGCAGCCAGGGATCAAACCATCAGTCTACCAATTAGTAGATGACCTGCTCCACCATATGTGAATTAAATTCAAAATGTAGCTGTTAAAAAGTTTGAAGCTAACAGAAGACTTCAGCAGTTGACCTATGTACCAAAGTTACATATTTATACCATAAATTGAGGTTACTGTGCCTCATTCAGGATTTGTTGCTTGTTAAAATGCAAAGAGGAATGTTTTTCCTTTGAAAGAAAAGCTGTTGGTTAACCTGCAGCCACTTTACTGAGCAAAAACTTTGCATTTTCCAATCTTCTCTGGTGTGGGGATTATAAAGTAAGTATGCAACGCAATTTATTATCATGCATCAATTGCACAGGAATCATGTACAAAGGAAACAGCGAGGAAAAAACCATCCATTTTCAAAGTATCCTGTCAAAAACCATTACTGTGTGGTGTTTGAGGCTTTTGTAAATTTTTTGTTGCATATATATCTTTGTATTCAGTTTTTGTTACTCCATGCACCAAAATAAAATGCAGGTAGAGTTAGATGCTGATTTTATTTGCATTGGTTGACATTTGTTCTGCCCATTTGTTTGTTTATGTTCTGTCCCACTGCTGCTTTATTTCTTCCTGCTCCTCGTCGTCTTCTTCTTTTTTCCACTCTGTTCATTTTGCTTCTCTCTTTGACTCTCGGTCCCCACTGTCCTTTCTCCATTTGCCAATTTTCTTTGCCTCTGTCTGTCCGGCTCTTTCTCTTGGTCAGGTCCTATGCGTGGGATGACAGATCAGTGGAGCCTGAACAAGACAAAGGACAGCAGCAAGCCTGACTCATTTCTAGGTCCATTTTACTTTTTCACCTTCTGTGCCATGAATACCTTTAACTGCAAACTAAGTAGCAGGTCACTGTATTTTGTCTCTTCTTGCTTTGAATCTAAATAAAATAAAAAGACTCAAGAATCTGGTGCAGATTCTGGTATTTACTTTAATGTGGGGGTTTTGAAATAAAAATGGGGTTAAAATTACACATACATGGTCAGAATCCTGCATATAGCATATCTAATATTTGTTTAAATATGCCTTAGTAAGTTTTACTGTCACCAGGCACTTTTAGCACTAATCGAAAGCTGTAAAGGCGTTTGGCAGAATTATAATTGGATGCATTTCATCCATTTCACCACTGGCTTCTATGTGAGTCTGCCTCATTCACAATTACATCCACTCTGTTCTGTGTACTTGTGCCACTGGTACAAAACAGCCCCTGAACATGATGCTGCCACTACCATGCTCCAACAGCTGGGATAATATTCTTGGGGTTGAAAGCTTTATCATTTCACCTCTCATCCGAGAAACCTCTGCAGTTGTTCAGTTCAGAATTGAAGTCTTTTTTTTTCAATAATTGAAACATGCCTACTTTACACACACAGTCATCACACTACAAACTGTTTCTACCTCTCTGTCAGTGCAACACAGCAGCCTACAAACCTATTGAAGAGATGTGGGCAGCTAATCTCCGAGCAGACAAACCACTTAGACACTGAATTAATTACTTAATTGATTAATGAATTATTAATTATGTGACAGAGGAAGTGTTCATAGGAGTTTTTGCAGGCATTTGACAAAACTAAGTACACCCCAAGAGGGAGAATCTTTTTCACACTCTTCTTTACAACATCGCTTCAGTTCTTTGTGCTTTGCTGGGATTTGCTTATGCACAGCTCTCTTAAGTTCCTTCCTCACTATTTCAGTCAGGTTGAGGTTTCCACTGGGTATTTGCATCACCTTAATTCTTTTCCTTTTCACCGTTGTGTTGTTGCTAGTGTGCTGGGGATCCTTGTCCTATTGCATTACCTAATTTTAGCTCTTGGACATGTAAATTATAGTCAAATGTGAGGCAACATTTTTATAGAGAGGCGTTCTTAGCTTTCTCAGTGACTGAAAGGTAAAACAAGGCTAAATCATCACCCTTCCAAGACAGTGCTTGACAGTTGGAATGAGGGATTTGTGCTAATATGCCAGGTTTGGTTTTTGCCAAACATGGCAGTCAGCATTCTGCACTTTGGTCTCTTCTGGTCAAAGGACATTATTTTACAAGTCTTGTGGTTTGTTTAGATATAACGTTACCATCAGTATTTAACTTCTCTCCCAGCTGCATGTGGTATGAGCATATAAAGTATACAACATTCAAACAGACAGCTTCCTGTTGGTGATGTAGCTCCTTGCTGTTTCTCTCCATCAGGCTTTTCTCAACCTGGGATTGGAGGGACCATGGGGTCCAGTATGCCACCCTTCCAGACCAGTATGAGCACTACTCTTGGCCAGACTGGAATGAGTCCAGCTATGGACACCCAGAAAAGTTCAAGCCATTTTGGTGTGGAAAGCAAAACCATCAGTAACACCAGTGGGAGCAGTCCCTTTAAAAGCAGCGATCCATTTTCTTCCGGTGGCATGGGAATCCATTCCATGAATCACTCTGCAGGTATCACACTGGAGCTTGGTTGCACGTAATACTGCATTCTGGGGCAGCAGGGGAGGGGGGAGTGAAGGACCAGTGAATCAAAATGTTAATATTGATTCAATATCGATAATATATAAAGGACTCATAAACTTTCCCAGACCAAATGGGTTTGGTTGCATGTCTAACACAGCTATAGCAACAAGTGGAGCTGCAGCTCAAACGTAAAAGTCTAAATCTGTGAACATCACATTTAATTTAATAAAAGCTGAGATGTTATGTTATTCTTACTTTAATACTACTGAAGAGACACAAAGGCAGAGCAGGAGGGAACAGTGGTGACAGGAGAAGTAACACCCTGATCACACAGGCCATGCTTTCAGCAGCAGAGGGCAGTCTTTTCTAGTTTTCACCGTCACTGGAACACTCCCAGCTCTGCTGTTTTGTTGCTGGTGACCTTATTGCTTTACACTCTGTGCACCCGGCTACTGTCCTTATCATCAATCGACAAACTGGATCAACAGACAAATGAAACAGTGACCATTTTAAATAATATAGCGCCACACAGTGTTCATTAGTTCCTGCAGTGAAGAGAAAATAGTAGCCTAACGTAGATTTAGTACACCACATGACATTTGTAGTTGTCTTTACTATGAATTTTTAATGTTTATCATAATCAGTAGCAACTGGGTGTCAACTAAATTTGTTGTTGCCAGGTAACAGAAACACAAACCCAGAGTAGTGCATCAGAGTTTTCCTGCTCATGTAATTGTGCATTTTAGAAACTAGAATAGAAACATGCATATTCTCCTGCAAATGCTTTTATATGTCTTCATTATGTTGTCATCTACATCTAACTCTAGATTCAGCCAGAAATCAAACCCTGCTATCAAGAGTCAAAAGAAAATGGCCTGCAAAAAAACAACTAAAGGGCTCTAAAGCCCACACTTGAACTCTTATACTGACTTTCCAAGTTTCCATTTTAGGCAGAACTTATTAAACATTTAGTAATATTTTTATTCATTAGCTTTTCTGTATTCTGCTTGTTGGTGTACTAAAGATAGTCCTTCTAGCTTAAAGCCAGCTAACAGTTATGTAACAGCTTCTATTGAGTTAAATCCCTGTCTCTCAGCAGATCTGATGCATCAGTGACACAATGAATATATATACTAGATACTTTCAAAATTGCTCTTCTAAAGCCAAAGGTGAGCTGAGCTGTTAGCCATTAAAGGCTACTGTAATGGATGCATTTGTACACCACAATTGTTGCAGCAGCTAACATATTTTGCAGATAATTACAGTTTGTTGAGCCTTATCTATGTTAAATTCTTCTCAAGTAAGGACAACAAACATATGTTCAGAGAACATCACAATGTGCATTATGTCAATACCTGATAAAAAATTTGAAGCTGTGAGCTAGCTAGCTTTATTTGGCTATTGTTGAAGCTTTCTCCTACTGGCTGAAAATTGGTAGTTGGTCCTTCTCCTTTTACATCAGTGTTTCCCAACCACTGTGCCGCGAGAAATGATCGGGTGTGCCCCGGAAGATTATCTGGTTCTACCTGATTAGGACTCTTAAGCAACACCACCAAACCAAAAGTGTCACAAAAAGCATTTTGATAATCTTCCCCCGCGCACCAGGTATAGCAGAATGGGCTCAATTTGTCCCCAGTATACCTTGTATGCTTTCTTCTGACCATTACTCATGCTAGGGCCTTCATCTGGGTCAGAATTTTCTCCAGGACTCAGGTCAGATTGACTGCTTTATCCTTTCAAATATTTATCTATTGCTATTATAAGCTGCATGGTCTCAGAGCATGACTATTATGTAATTTCTGTTTTACTGGCAGTTGGCAACCCATTTAATTAGAGCAGGTAGTTGTACTGCCCTCTAGTGGAACAGAATGTAATTGGTCTACCCGTTAGTCACGCTGGTCGTTTAGAGCAGCGATCCCCAACCTTTTTTGTGCCACGGACCAGTTTATGCCTGACAATATTTTCACGGACCGGCCTTTAAGGTGTCGCGGATAAATACAACAAAATAAAACTAGTACTGCTACTGAAAAATAGAAGAATTATTCATAACACACGTGAAAAGACCCAGGAAAACTGAGTTAACGCTAAAAACGATAACAAAATAACGCTGAAAACCATACATTCCATACCTGAGCCTCAACTCTCGCGGCCCGGTACCAAATGACTCACGGACCGGTACCGGTCCGAGGCCCGGGGGTTGGGGACCGCTGGTTTAGAGTACTCATCAGGTGGAATCAGATAATCTTCCACGGCACACCTGATCATTTTTCATGGCACACCTATGTGCCGCAGCACAGTGGTTGGGAAGCACTGCTCTAAGCGACCCAGATGAAGGCCCTGGCATGAGCAGTGGTCACAAGAAAGCAAAAAAGGTATATTGGGGACAGACCGAGCTATACTTGGTCTGCGGGGGGAAATTCTCAAAATGCTTTTTGTGACATTTTTTTTGGTGGTGTGCCGTGTGATGTTTCTAAAGTGAAATATGCGCCGTGGCTCCAAAAGGCTGGGAAACACGGTTTTACATAACCAAGGTGAAAAAATGTAACCTTCCTGCTTGACAATACAGTCAGTAAAGTAGTGAATAGAAATTATACTTCGTTTAAAGCTGCTTCCAGTCAATTAATCAATCAGTCAACCAATCAGTTTGAGAAATAAATAGAAGTACACTGAAAACCTGGAATTTTCTCTTATTTAGGATCGTTGTTTTTTATTCTGGCTTGACTGTGCAACAAAAACAACCTCTTATTTAAGTTAGAGCATTACAAAATAGTCTGTGCCAATGTGTGCTAAAAATGATATTATTTTTTATTCATTTTCAAGGTTTGTTTTTTTTTCCTTGTTGTAAAAGGCAAGAAAACAGGTGGTTGTGTTCTTATCTGGTGTCCCAGCAGTTAATAGTGTAAAAGTGGAACAGCAGATGCCAGCAACACCTAAAACCAAAACTAGGTCTTTGTCCCCTCACTCAGAACTCATCTGCTGTCCCCCAATTTCTCTTAACAGTTGTTAACAGTAAAGGACAAGCAAATGTGATAAAAGTGCAGACTTTCAGGTTTAATTTAAGAGTTTCACAAAATATATTGCATTAAGTGTTGGGATGAGACTCTATGACAGAGACTCTATGGAACTGCAAATATGTGGTACAATAAGATACTGATGCAAGTAAGGAAAGGCCATCGTCAGACTGACAAATCCAAATAAACCTGTCAGAGAGATAAAAGAAGCTAGCAAACACTTTCAGAGTGGCTAAATCAACAGTCTGCTGCAAAAGAAAAGATTTTCTCAAGGCAAAGAAATAAGATATTCATCTAGACTTTCATCCAGGCATTAAAAACAGAAAGAAAATGGGGGCCTATGTAGTGTAGAATTCCTAATGTAATTCATCTGTAATTCCTGAACAATTAGTGCAATCCTTTTGTAAAACCCTTGAATAAAAGTCTACACTTTAGTCACATTTTGATTGAATTATTTAAAACCCACTGTGGTGGTGTCCAGAGGCAAAGACGCACTCTAACTAACTGTAAGTACGAAGTGAGAAAGCAGTAATGTCATTCCATTGACGCTGAAATCATAATTTCCTGTCGACACAGTTGCCAGAAACATCTTAAAAGTTTGTTTTTTGATTGTCCCACATTATCTTTAAGCTTCAGTGAGCATGAATAACTCATCCCTGTCGGCAGGCAGAAAACAGAAACCCAGATTTGGGGTGATGGCGAGTCATGCCCCTCCACTTCCTCCTGTCTCACATCACTGGGTATCTAATGAAGCAACAATAAAAGAGCAAAAAAACAAAAACATGTTACTTAAAGTAACAGGGGGATTAAATTGGATCTGTCTAGGCATTGGCACGATTTAGGAATTTACATTCATGGAAGTGTCATTGCTGAGGTGCTTTATAAGTATGGAAAATAGTCATTTATAACACAAATTCTGTGTGTTTTTTTAAGTTGTGTCTACAACTCAGTGTGGGGATATTTCTGCAGGATACTGATGACACGTTTTCCAAACATGCTTCTATTCTTCTGCGTTTACTGTCCTGTGTTTAAGGCTTGCAGTCCACTGTGCTCCTGCTCTGTCTGCAGTAAACCTTAAATAGAATTTGGCAAATTACAGCTCATACTGTGTTTTTGCATGGGTCATGTGTTCAAAGCAGCCCATGCTCCAACCTTAATGTATTTCATGGCGGTTTGCCAGAGTCCAGATTAAGAAGTACTCCCATTAAATATGTTATCCTATTAAATATAGATGATAATATCCCTGGTCTTGTCTTCCTTTAGTGTTGTTTATAGCAGGGCACGCATCAGGGGAGAAAATAGCCAAGTCAATCAATTAAACCATGCTGGGAAAGGTGCCAGATTTAGAGAGGATTGCACCTTTTTCTGGATTTCCATTAATAAGTAGTGATGTAAGACTGCAGTTAGGATGATGAAAACTAGAAAAAATAATAATATTTTAGACTGGAAGAAGAGCCGATGAGCAGTCATAGACTATTTTACAGTTTGCCTGTTTCTGTCTGTTCATCTTTCTGTTTCTTGTTCTCTCTGAGCTGATGACGTGCTTGTCAGTAATAATTGAGAAATATGGATTCAGAGGAAAATGCCAGAGCCAACTGCGATGCTTTCATTCCTCAAATAAGAGAAGATAGTGGGAACAGACAAATAAGAAGATCATTTCAGTGCAGGCTGAACATTTTTTGCTTTGTCTGCCATTTGATCGTTTTGTGATTCCGCAGTGCGTTCCTAACGCTTAATGTGATTTGAGTGCGTTTGAATGTGCACTTAGTAGACACGCATGTTTTTAATTTTGTTCTTGCATGCTAGATCCTGTGTTAACTGTGCTTGGTATATTTGTCTGTTTAAGTTGCTTCAAGGTTGCATTGCTCTCACAGTGTGCTTATTTTTGTGTGGCGTGTGTGCGTCCTCCCTCTAAGAGCAACTTTGTATCCTGGATGGTGGTGATGATGATGTTTAAATATTGAGGATTATGCATATTTGTGCAAAAGGACACTTGCATCACACATTTACTGGTTGACTGGCACTTCCTTTCAGACTTCACTGGCAATTTGGAAAACAGAAATCTACACCAAACTATATGACGAACTTTCAGTTTTGACTTCCTCTCATTTTACATTATAGTTATTATCATAAAGAGTAACAACTAAAAACAACATTACCCTTCATGCACACAAATGTGCATGTCAATCACAGTCTAACTTGGTCCTAAAAGGTTCCCTCAAACGTTGTTGTCAATGAAATTTTAGTTAACAGTATATCCAGTCAAATCCAGGCAGCTGGGACACCAAGCAAATATATCTAATGCCTGGTGTAAAACAGCATCTATAAAACGTTTTATGCACGTATGCTCTATTATAGTCTTTACAGAACCATAGACAAAACAACAGGTGAGTAAAGCAAATACAGGTTGAATGTATTTATAAAAGCAGGCACCATCACATACAACTTACTGCAATAAATTGTTGAAAATGTTGTGCCTAAAAAGAGCCTAAGAGCAGTCAGACTATGGTTACTATCACTGGAAACCAACCCAGCAAAACAAACTTCACTTCATGATTTTATGTGCATTTCCTGGTTGGCATGTGGCATACCACTAGTACGCAAGGCGGGAATTTATTGCGTATTATAGCATGTAGCCACGTGTGCTTTCCAAATGCATTGCTAATGCATCTTCTATAGTACCAGCTTAGGTGTTTCTCCTGTCCAACCATATCATGTGATGTCACTAAAAATGATCTGTCTTCATCTGGTTGTTATTTTACAGTGTATGTACACCACACCGAAATATTTCAGCAGGTAATAAATTTAAACGAGTAAAATTTTAAAATAAGTTATGTTCCACAAAAATGTCTGTTCTTTGTTTTTTGGGGGATGAGTCAGGTGACAGTAATAACAGACGTTTATTATTTACAGTATTTGTTAAACAATGAGAATAAGTATAGTTCAGTAAGATAAACTCATTGAAGCCACTTATCTCTACAAATAAACAAATTTAACATTAGTGGGAAATTAGTCCAGCTTTGCTCAATTAATGTGCATAATTGAACTTATTAACAGGATGCCAAGAACTAAAAGCTATCACTGAATGTCAGAGATGCCTCTAACTTGCATTGCAGAGATATCTACTGAAGTTAACTCTCATCAGGTAGTCCTCATCCAGGGACTCATGTGATACCCTTTTGGTACCCAAAGATGGCCTAGAGAGTAGGCTGCCCTCAGTGCAACTTGAAAGGACCAAGAAGTAAAATGTGCCTAAATGTGGTATTTTTCTTTTGTAGAGTCTGTAGCTATTATCCAACCTGAACTTCGAACAATTTTTAGTTAGCTATGTTGGCGTAGTTTTCACACACGTCCTTTCTCACATGTAGCACACATCAGGGAATACTCTGGATGCAAACTACTCTAATTACTTTGGTTTAGACAAAAAAACTACCTGAATCATGTTGAAGGACAGGTAGTCAGTGCAACAGTAAGGACAGTGAGGGCTTAAGTTCTTGTAATGCACCCACTAAAGAGCACTATTAACAAGACAGCTTGCTGGTTAGAGTTTGTTTTTAGCCTAAAATTGTGTGGCTTCTTTAACGTATCGTCAACCACAATGGTCGTTAAATCATTTTGATTGTATAGCAGCGTCTGGCAATGGTAGACATAACAGACTGGGGGCTTTGATGAAGTTAAGAAATGTCAGCCTGGAAAGCACAACTTAGGATGTCAAGCACCACTGAGTGCTCTTGTGAAACCACAGAAACCCTTTCTAAGGTAAGATACATATCTTGCATAAGTTAACCCAACTGCGTAAGAGGGGGAAAAAATGTCTGCTTTAGCTTATTTCATAAAAACTCATATTTCAACATAAATTTAGGGTAATCCTATTATCTTCACTACATCAACTTACTTTCACTGTCATAGATGCAAGAGTTATTTACCAAAATAGCTGGTACACCCAGTTAAATCAGATTTAAACCTGAAATAACGAGTACAGCTATAGTAACCATAATCTGATGGCTTTTTATCAGGTGTTTCTCTGACACAGTATGTGATTGGTTCCTCCTCTTATAAAACCCTCCCCCTCGGCAGCTCCCATCCTCTCTCCCAGCGGCTCAGTGGATGACAGCAGTGCTACATCCTCCAACTCTGAACCCCTCAGCCCTGACAGAGCAGGGCTGGGGAACGAAGCCGGCAAGCAGCAGCAGCGGCGACGGAAGAAGAAGAGGAAGGGCCGTGATGAGGTCTACGACTTCTTGGATAGCCAGGAGAATAACATCAGCAGGATGCAGGATAAAGGCAGAAGGGAGGTGGAGGAGGACGAAGATGAGGAGGAGAACTGGGAGTGGGAGATCAGAGAGAGTGGAGGAGGGGGTAGGGTAAAAGGCAGAAAGACTAAGAGTCGGGCAAGACTTCCAGAGGAGTGGGGAGCTCCACAGCAGCCTGTCTCTCCCACACCAGCTACAGTTGCCCCTAAGTGGGCTGCAGGTGCTGACATTGGCTCTAGTGACCCCAAAGCTCCAAACTCCATCCCCAGCCCCACTCTACCCTCTGCCCCTGAACAGATACCCACAAGTTTTACCAACTGTTCCCATGTTGGCCAAGTATCAGATTTGTCTTCGCGCTCCTATGAGCCTATGTGTTTAGATGACTTTTCTGTGTCTGTTAAAAATGGGCAAAAGCCCATTGAAGAGAGAATGTCAGCCAAACCTGAAAACCATATTAGCACAGCTGCTAGTACAGTCACCAAGAATAGTTTAGCTGGGGATGTCAGCGGTAGCCTAGCACTAATGACAGGGGACAACCTAAGCCCTGTCTCCCAGACCTTCTCTTTCCTTGATTCAGTTCTCCAGACCCCACCGGGTTCCACTCCCGACTCCCAGACAACCCCCCCCATCACCAACACAGCCTCCCTTGCTCCTGCTTCCCTCACAAAGTCAACCCCAGTAGAAACCACTGCCCCTGCTTCACAAGCTGCTTCTGATTTCAACCCTTTCAAGAGCACTTCAGACCTTCCCCCCACTGTGTCCACCAGTCCATCACCTTTAACTTCAGCAGAAACATACCCGTCAGCAGTCATAGCTGGATCGGCCCTCAACGTCGATGCCAAGCCTTTCATCCCCTCAGCCACACTAATGTCCTGCACAGCTACCCCCAGTAATTCGGAGGCCACTCCTGTTGTTAGAACAGCAGCAGTGGCCTCCACGGGAACCGCCGGTCCTGCATCCTCTACCACTTCAGTCACACCTCTTAATTCCTCAGCTGCTTCCTGTAAGAAAGAAGCCACCCCTGCATCGTCATCACCAGACACTCCCCCCAAATGCGTACCAGTGTCCCTTAGCTCAGCCACACACCCTCCTCCCATCACCCAAGCTGCCCCTCCCTCTCTCCCTGCACACTCAGACCACCAGGAGTCCTCGTCGCCACAGCTCCCCCCATTGGAAGGTTGGTGAACTACAGGGAAGATTATGAATAACATGGAGCTAATTTAAAGAAAAGTGATTGTAGGCTAGGATAGCAAGAAGTAGTGATGTTTGTCTTCCTGTATGCATGGCTCTTTGCCTGCTTGGTGCTCGATCCTGTCGCCTGCGAATCCGAAATAACCGGGGCCCGACAGATATATCCAGAACAGCTTCTGTTTTAATCAGCTTTTAAGATATTTACCTTTACGACAGATAAACATCTGCTCTTTGTTACTACTGCAAATATAATCTGGAAAATATCGCAGACAGAAATTCATTTGTGTCCAAATATAATAATATCCTATGCTGCCAGCATGACTATGGGACACAAATGTACTGTGCTGGTCGGGCCCTACAAACCTGCCAGGGTAAATGGTCTGATTGGATTTTCCTCTGCCTGCCTCTGTGTATCTGTTACTGTGATCATAACAATTTGATAATACTTGACCTGCTGCTGATAGCTGCTGCCGTCTATGCTTGCTCCACTGTCTACTGTTTCATGTGATTGTCAGCTGCTATGTAACCTACCACTATCTCCTTTTTGTCTGTAAAAAAACACATAACCTGGGTCGCTGCATGGAAAAGCCAGTTTGTCAATGCCTTTCAGATTCAGTCAGTAACTTTGTAGACTTTAATCATCTGCATAGAGGCAAATTAGTGTATGTAGAAGAGGCAAGGTGTGGCCGTGACCATAGACATCATATAAAAGATGAACAGGATGTAGCCACTGTGATGCCATTCGTTCATTTGCAAACTTTAGAGGACTGTTTCTTTTTGATGCCAAACTGTGACTGCACAGTCATAGGATTGCAATGTGTCAGTCAAAATCAGGCTGGAACTAAAGCATAACCTTGTTATCTGAACTAATAGTGACTCATCAGAAAAATGTCAGCTGAGGTCAAAGAGCGAGGGAGCCCTTAGACTTCTGTACTTCCTTTAGACACCAGGAGTTACCACTTCCTGACTATCAGAAAGCACTTGATTTTTCAGATGCAAAGGCTATGCACATCTTTTATACACAGTCTATGGTTGTGAACAAGAAAACTGGAAAATGTGTTACAAATTGATCTGTCATTTATTTATTAGGTCGATAAGGCACAAAACCCAGTTTTTTATTTTTTCACCTCTAAAGTTTTCTTTTCGCAGTGATTTTCAGTAGTGAATTCTATTGCAGGTGTTTATTATAAACTATATATGACGTGTTATATGTTAAAGATGCATTACTCCATTCAGCTATTTTCTAAATTCTCTACAATGTAGTATTTGACCCAAAATGAACCAAAAAATCCTCAAATTTCTACTACTTTGTTTGAGCCACAGGATGTGACCTGCATCATAAAGTTACCCATGTGTCACCTGTGAGTGACCATATTTTCACATTAAAGTCAAGTATTGGTCTCTGAACCATTTTCATGTCCCTCATTGTTAGATTAAATCTTGTAACAAGGGACTTCAATTTATTCTTTATATTTCATTGGCCAAGAATTAGAGGATCTAAAAAACAATCAAACGGTGGCCCTCACCGCAGCAATGTGCTCCGATGTGATCAACTCAAGAAAATACCAGCAAAGAGGAAAATACTGTAAAACACATAACAGAAGTTGGATAAAACACAAGTGAAACAGAAAAAAACGGCACAAAAATACCAACTTAAAAACACAACAGAAGTGTTTTTGGGGAGACAACAACGTGGACGCAACAGTTACAAAATTCACAAGCTAACAGTAAACTGCTAATAGCAAACACATATGTGCAGTTTTTATGTGAATCATATGATAAAAACACACAGACTCCTCTGTTTCTCTCATGCATGTCTCAGTGCAGTCCTTCACATGTTTTGGTTTCTGTCACATTCATATCGTAACACTTCTCTGCTCTTGTTTTGTGAGATTTCTTTCTAGTTCCACTCTGTTTTATTCAGCTTCTGTTGTGTTTTGTGTGTTTTTGTAGTATTTTTCTATTTACTGGTATTTTCTTAAGTTGCAGTCTGTTTGACCTCTCAGGACCACCAATCTTAAACATAGTTCATTTGTAGGTACGGAGGAATTTATATTTTTGCTCAGGTCATACTTCAGATTACAATCTTTGTTTTTGCATTATTATCCTGATTAGAAGTAACCTTCATGTAACAGGATTTTCCCCTGTTGTTATTACAACAGACAGGCATATCCATCCAAATCTAACCAATCACCAGCCACATAGTAACCTGCAGTTTACTGTCCAGTGCCTGGTAAGGCCTGCCTCCTGTAACCTGAGAAAAACCCTGATGGCACCTCATTCTAGTACTCCTTCCTCTTACTTGAAATGCCTGCATTCTAGCCTGATCACTCTGTCGCTACAGACTACATCTCGTACCCTCCTTATGAAGATTTACTTTCTACTGTAATTCCCTGTGCTTCGCTTTAGTCCCGACCTTAAACCACCCTGACACTCCTGGTGAAATATGTGTTTAATGCTCTTTAGATAAAAGGTTTTGTCAAGTAGCTCGAATTGCGTCTGTCTCTTCCACACAGATCTTGGCCTGAGCAAAAGTTTTCAGGTACATGACTCAATACTCGAGTCTTATTTTAGCGAGAGAGGTCTTAAAGCAGAGGGATTGTTAGAGCTGACGTTGGAGAATTGTGTATAAGACAATGGAGTTAATTCTAAAGCGAGTAAACTTGATTTTTTTCTCTCTCCCTTCCCATTTTTTCTTTTTCATAATGCCACCAACAATGTAACCTCCACAGGTAAGAACAAGTTTCCCTTTTCCCTTTTTCTTCTTTCTGACCCAGGAAGTTTGCACATCCTTATGTCAGATCATTTTGGGGATGTTTAGTATGCTTGTCCCTGTGTTTGTTTGTGGATGTGGATGACAGTGAAGTATTTAAATACACAGAACACAGAAAATGTATTTTATTTCTAAAAGTGAACTGAGGGATGTTCCTGTGGTTTAAGATTCTTAAAGCTAATTTGAGATTTCATCCACCTAGCCCAGCATACATCACCACATTACCTTCTTTAGGTGAAAACTGTACACTCTATGTATCTCAAGTCTAAGGTTCATTCCCTCCTTTGTAAGATGGGGTCTGACAAACTCACTAATGTACATGGAAAGAATGCCTGGATCTGTCCATTTATAGTCCAGTTTTGACCTGGAGAATAATGTTTAAACCAGAAATCTCATAGAAAATACATCTAAAATTCATTTTCATAAAGATATAAGTAAACAACCAGTGACTTTGAATGACTAAATAAATGTAAGTGATGATACTTGGCACTCTCTAAATGGGTTGATTTTTATGGTGCCTAAGTCAGCCCCACATCCTGTACGACTCTTCAGCATTACAAATACAGTGATGATGTTTGCAGGGCTGCGATGATTTTTCACAGATTTTTCCTTAAGTTTTTATTCCACAGTTCAAATTTGAACTGCACATTTCCCATTGTGTTTGCAGAAAACTTTATGGTTTGTTATTGCTACGATTTAGTGTTACCAAAAATCTCAATGACATTTCCTAACAAAAGCTGGAAACGACTGAAATCACAAATTTATTCAGCTGTTTGTTGCAGGATGTGTTTAATGTGGTTCACTACACATTACAGTACTTGGAAGACAGTTGTGTTGCATTTGACATGTATTTCGCGTGGTTTACTGTGAGACTGACATCACTATGTAAGGCATAGTGATGTATTGATGTTTTTTTTGAATGACCACAGTTATAGTGAATCTTTCTCATCCAACTTGTATCCTGTAGCTTGTATTTCTGTGTTTGCTGAGAGGCAAAAACGCTAATGCTGGAAATAGAACAGCTCTAATAAATAATTTAAAGTTACTGTGAGAGTCATGTCCACGGTGAGTGTATGTACATTTTTCACCACAACTGTACATTATTTCCTTTGGGAATTAGTAGAGATCAAAAATGGAGTTATTAAAGAGTCTGTTTGAGTTTACCTGAAACACAACTTCTATGTGACTGCTTAAAATGGGCAGGGTTGTATCCACAACAACATAGAATCAGTGATTGCAGGTTAAATGATTAAAAATATATTTTTAACAGTAGTATTTCAATAATATTAGAGACAACCAGCCACCCTTCCTCCAAAGGGTGTCTGGTTGTATGGTTGCTGCGGTGCTCCGATGTGATCAAATATTAAATACTAGATATTAAAAATTGCTGCTGTTAATGACCTTGTGTGTTAGTCTCTTCACTCTGTGTAATTTGGCCCAGACTGCGCAGGTTGAATGTTTTTATTACCCAGCCAGTCTGGGAGTTTCTCTCTCCTGACTTTATCTTGACTCCATCTATTTTTAACTCTGCATCTTTCTCTCATATACAATATTGATGACAGTGACTGTTTCACCCTTATGTAAGGCGAACACACCCTCATTTTTTCAATGTGCATGTAGTCCGAAAGAAAGAAGAAATTGTTGTCGTTCCTGCTGTGTCAATGTGTGTGTGTGAGACAAAGAGTCTCTGGTATGCAAAGCAAAGTGGCAACCATCTTTTACCTGATGCTGTGTCCTGGATTCATCCTTGAGAGAGAGCCAGGGAGATTAAATCAAAGCAAATTCTAGAAATTGAGATAACCACCGGGAAACCCAGTGTGCTGTGGTTGGCACTGCATACAATCATGTTGCAGTCTGTGTCGGTTGTTGTTGTAGAATCTCAGCCCTGCTCACTGGCTCCATCAGGTGCCTGCTACAGAAATTACACCTATGAACCACTGCTCTCTGAAATCATCACCAAGAAACATGTGCAGGTGCCATAATATTGTCGTGTCTCGGCATAACTGTAAATATTCTTTTTTAGTTTTTACAAAGCATTGTTTCGTCACATTCATTTGGCAAAAATCCAATTTTGGTTCTACTTTTGAAGCATTTTATGGTCTAAAATGTAGGACAGAGGACAGAGAGGACAGAGTCCATCTGACTGAGTCACCTTAGTGTTGTTATCAACTTTTTTCATTGGAAAAAACTGGGCTGCATTTCACTTTTTATTC